CTGTAAGAGTGCCAATTAATTAGATGATAGGACCTTCATATTATGGTTCTGGGTTAGATCTCTCGAAATTTCTATATGCTTAACATGTACCCATAATGCTGGATCTTGGCAGTAAACCTCCCGGATTCCTATTTCTATGTCACTATTTATTTCCCCTCTCACAGAATGTATCGCCGTGCTGGCACCTTCATTACCAGTACAAAGACTGTTTGTTGAAACTGTCTACATACATTATGAAAGCTTGTTAATTAACACTTTTGCTTACATCCCAATCAGATGCACTTTGGGGCATCTGAATTGCCTGACACTGTTTTCTGCCTGTGGTCAACAGTGTACAGCCCCTTACATCTAATTTGGCAAGTATGAATTACAAATTACAAATGCAGAGATGGTGTTATAAGCTCTACCATGAAAGAATCCATGCATGGTATTCCCCAAAACATACCTGTTTTCTGGTTTTTTTGTGTCTACTAAATGTACATAGTAGCACTCCCGGGCACAGTTTGGATAAAATTACAAGGGGTATGTCACAAAATGAAACCCTCTCTTATGTATGTTTTCCCCCAATTTTGCTGCTCTATGAAGTGCTTCTGAAGAATAAAAAGGACAAAGCCAGAATAATTCTAAATGTACCAGCATGGCTGTGACAAGGTGCCATGGAACGAGGTGTACCGGTAGTTCGAATTAGAGATCCTAATTCGAACTACCTACTCCGTGCTGCGTGTAGCTGCAGGCACGGAGTTCGGACTAAGGGACATTTAAAAATGGCGGCGCCCGGGAAGATGCAAATGAAGCTCGGGATATTTAAATCCCAGGCTTCATTTGCAACTTCGAATGCCTACATTAGCCTCCCTAGTTCGATCTAGGGGGCTAATGTAGACATACCCTTAATGTCTCTCAGCCCTATTTGGCAAGGTGATGCAAGGCTTGGCTTTAAGGCACTCTCCGTGACGTCAAAGTCTCAAGGGCAGTATGAGCTGTACATGTGTTCCATGATCTTCAGGTTGGTAATCGCAGCGTCCTCTCCTCAGAACCCTCACAGCCCCCCTCCCAAGTAGGACCAGTAGAGGTGGGCAGAGGCTGGAGCAAAGCTATTTAAGACCTGGGATAACTGTAACACTCCCCCCTGCCCTCCTCTCCACACACACTCTTGCCCTTTCCCAGGCACCCTCTCCTGCACAGGCCAACCCGTAAGCAGAAACGGGAATTCTGTGTTCCTGGAAGGAGGTATCGGGCTGTGCTCTCCCCCTCACCCTGCCCAGGCCTGAGCATCAGATTAGTTACATGTGATCCACGGGCTGCTGGTGGAGAATTACTGCCTAGAAGAAACGTGTCATCTGATAGCTATGGAGTTCTGATTTTCTTATGTTAGACGGATGAATTGAAAGATTGGAAGTAAACCAGCTCTGCTTATGTATTTTCTATGTCCTTTTTTATTTGTTGTAATCTATTCATTTCTAGACAGTTACAGCATCTGTTTCCCTGTTACAGTGCTACCAGCTAATTAAAAAAAAACCCAACCCACCAAAAACAGACACAAAACCTGAAAGTAGTTCCAGTTCTCCTCTCTTGTGCCTTAAAGAGGAACACTTGCTTGTCTCACATGCTAGTTTTAGAGCAGGGGCTTAAATGAAACAGAATCTTTTTCAGGACCCCAGAATATTTGCCCCAGAAGTTTTGTAGGAAGTCACCATTTCTGCCTTTTTATATCAATTTAGGACTATTTTCACTTCCTAAAATATGTATGCATTTCCTGTGGAAGGCGAATTCGGTAGTTTTACTTAACTCCAGTGGGAGTGCTTTTGATAGTTTGGCGAATGAATGGATTACAACACATTTATTTGTAGCTTTCCTATTATTGTTGCACTTCAGTCTGACTATCATGCTGCAACTTTTCCTGGATTATCAACCATTCTACTGTGATTGTAGACTCAGACCTGATTGATTGTAGCAGGGAAAGCCTTGCAAAGGAATCTGAAACTGACATTGTTACAGACAATGGCAACTTCTTGGTCAACTGAAAACAAAGACATAAGCATATCAGCGCTCCGTATTTTCCTCTAAGTTTCACATTGAATTAAAGCCACTTACTAATATAAAGATTTCATTCAAGTTTCAATATAGGGCTCGATGGGCTTTCAGTCAGGGCTACAATTACTTTACAACTTGTTTAGCTGAGAGCTCACATATCCTCCTAGACGTTCAAACTCTCTCATCACTCAATGGGTCTGAAATACGTAATAGGCAAATATCTCAGACAATAGATAGCGGAGGTGGACCATTTTTTTTTTAAGTCTAACAAATATTTAGTGTCCTGATACTTTAATGTCCTGATAAAAGGCCTGTTAAGGGTGTCTGGAGCCTAGGACTTTTTATATACTATACACTGTGGCTGTGTCTACACTGGGCCACTTATTCCGGAAAATCAGCCGCTTTTCCGGAATAAGCTGCGAGCTGTCTACACTGATCCTTGAATTTCCGGAAAAGCAACGATGCTCTACTGTACAAAATCAGCCGCTATTCCGGAAAAAATTATTCTGCTCCCGCTCGGGCATAAGTCCTTATTCTGGAACACGGTTCCGGAAAAGGGCCAGTGTAGACAGCCCAGTAGTCTTTTCCGGAAAAAAGCCCTGATCGTGAAAATGGCGATCGGGGCTCTTTTCCGGAAAAGCGCGTCTACATTGGCCACAGACGCTTTTCCGGAAAAGCAGCCTGCCAATGTAGACGCTCCTTTTCCGGAAAACCTGAAAACGGAATAGTATTCTGTTTTAAGCATTTCCGGAAATACATGCCAGTGTAGACACAGCCTGTCAGTTTAATAACCTGAAAAGATAAGCAATTTTTCAGTAATGTTTATATGTCTGATTTTTTTTCTAAACCCCTCCACCGCCCACAACAGTACACAGAACAAAACAGACTCCTTGAAAGGTTGTCTAGAAAGACAGAAAGTAAAAAATACACAAGTAAAAATGTTCAGTCAAATAAAAAGCTCATACACATTCTAATTTCATAATAAACATGTCTTTATTCCAAAAATCATAATACTGCATGTTAGCCAATTACAAAGCATCTACACAAGACTTTGGTAAGAAATGAACACTTTTTAAAAAAATTGTGTGTTGCACATATAAAAACCTATCATTTAAGCCACTACTTCTTCTTTTTCATACCATGTAAAACTTCTATAGCTCATATATTAGAAAATATAATGTACGATCTGATACACGCTGTGTACAAAACTCAGGCATGATAGCTGTGCTTTCAGTTGGAAACTTTTGATTTTTTATTGATATATAATTCTACTGGAAATTTTACAGTGGAAACTTTTGATTTTTTATTGATATATATATTGAATATAATTCTACTGGAAATTTTACAGCAACAATGCAGTCTACATGTTTTTTATCAGAACTTTTGTTTTCCTTAGAAAACTCAAACTATTTTTTGTTTATGTAGATATAGATGTGTTTTATACCAAAAAGTAACAGCTTAAATACGTTTTGTATCAAGGAAGAAGAAAATCAGCAAATGGAGGAAAAATAGATAACACAAAAAATAGTATAAAATTAGAACTAACAGTCACATCTCTAACTGCAGGCTATTTTGTGAATGTTAGTATTAATAATGTGGCAAACTCAAATATCTATAACATATGTAACTGGAAACAGTGGTGTGTGCTAGTTAAGGGAAAATAAAGTTGATACTAATTGAAATTGTACTGAAACCGCAGTGTAAGGTATCAGAGGGGTAGCCGTGTTAGTCTGGATCTGCAAAAGCGACAAGGAGTCCTGTGGCACCTTATAGACTAACAGATATATTGGAGCGTAAGCTTTCGTGGTCAAAGACCCACTTCGTCAGATGCATGTAGTGGGAATTTCCAGAGGCAGGTATAAATATGCAGGCCAGAATCAGGCTGGAGATAACAAGGTTAATTCAGTCAAGGAGGGTGAGATCCACTTCGAGCAGCTGATGTGGAGGTGTGAACACCAAGAGAGGAGAAACTGCTTTTGTACTTGGCTAGCCATTCACAGTCTTTGTTTAATCCTAAACTGATGGTGTCAAATTTGCAGATGAACTGTAGCTCAGCAGTTTCTCTTTGAAGTCTGGTCTTGAAGTTTGTTTGCTGCAGGATGGCTACCTTTAAATCTGCTACTGTGTGTCCAGGGAGATTGAAGTGTTCTCCTACAGGTTTTTGTATATTGCCATTCCTAATATCTGATGTGTGTCCACTTATTCTTTTACATAGGGACTGTCCGGTTTGGCCAATGTATGTAGCAGAGGGGCATTGCTGGCACATGATGGCGTATATTATATTGGTAGATGTGCAAGTGAATGAATGGTGTGGCTGATCTGGTTAGGTCCTGTGATGATGTCACTGGTGTAGATACGAGGGCCGAGTTGGCACCAAGGTTTGTTGCCTGGATTGGCTCTTGAGTTAGAGTTATTGTGGTGCGGTGTATAGTTTCTGGTGAAAAGTGAAAGGCCTGTGAAAGTGAGAGATCATTGTTCAGGATGGGTTGTATATCACTGACGATGCGTTGGAGAGGTTTTAGGTGAAGACTGTAGGTGATGGCCAGTGGTGTTCTGTTGGTTTCTTTCTTGGGCTTGTCTTGTAGTAGGAGGCTTCTGGGTACATGTCTGGCTCTGTTGATCTGTTTCCTCACTTCCTTGTGCGGGTATCGTAGTTTCAAGAATGCTTGGTGGAGATCTTGTTGGTGTTGGGCTCTGTCTGAGGGGTTGGAGCAGATGCAGTTGTACCTAGTGCTTGGTTGTAGACAATGGATTGTTTGGTGTACAAAAGTACAAAAGCTAGCCAAGTACAAAAAGAGTTTCTCCTCTCTTGGTGTTCACACTTCCACATCAGCTGCTAGAAGTGGACCTCACCCTTCAACTGAATTAGCCTAGTTATCTCGAGCCTTATTCTGGCCTGCATAGTTATACCTGCCTCTGGAAATTTCCACTACATACATCTGACAAAGTGGGTCTTTGCCCATGAAAGCTTATGCTCCAATACATCTGTTAGTCTATAAGGTGCCACAGGACTCCTTGTCGCTTTCACAGTGTGAGGGTTGCCCAAAGTTTTTCCTTATAGGCATGTTCAAATATAATTCATACTCGATATATTCATATGTATATGAATTAAACCAGTATGAAAATATTTGCAAAGGGAATAAATCTAATATTAAAACAATGTGATGACACAGAATACCAAAGAAGAACGCTAGTGAGAGGAAACAGAGCATTAACAATTTGATGACATTTTCTTACATAAACTGGGGTGAAGAAAGAGCTCTCACATGCTATAGGACCACAACGGCCTTGTTGAGCTTAATCTGAGTCTTGGAGCTAATCATCTCATGGTGAGGAGCAGGCTGCATGGCTCTCAATTGCATGGGTATTTTTAACCCAATGATATGTTCTTGCAACAGGCAGTTTACCGGGACTTGTCAAATGCACAGGCCTGGGATTTGGAGAGCCCCGGTGGACTCAGATGGCTGCTTTGGGTATAATAGTACAGGTGGAATCATGCAAAAAGTGGCAACAGTTCCAATGAATTAAGACAGTCAAAACCAGATAGTGGATTTGGGGGCTTGTGATCAACTATAAAAGGATTTGACTAAATCATCTACCGCTGTTCTAAACCAACAGCCTTTATTCTCAGTGCATTGTTATGAATACGTTTTTCTAATCCCTTTCCTGGACAAAAATGAGGTAAATTTTTGTGTCCCAATTAGTGTGAAGCTTAGTTCCTCTAGTATGATTTATATCTGAACTTCAGGCTGTAGTCCGCTAAATCACAAATGTTTGGGCATTTTACAATTCCTCATAATCTTTCTGTTGCTAGCATATGTCCTGTGTTGACTGAGTATGGATCAAATAACAAAAATATTCTTCTTTTATACGAGCACCCGATGTGCCTTGTCAATGCCATCCACTGTTTTATATTTATCTCTTCACGAAATGGATCCTAGTCTCTCATATGGAAGTTTTTCTGTGGCACAGTCCCTGCCTTTCTCTATTTCTGCTACTATCTTTTCTAAGACAGTGGTGGACAAACCTGTGCATTGTTACTGAGCTATGCAGACTGATGCTTATATTCTAATTGTTCAGCTTTTTCCATGTTTAAAGAAGGAGAGCCTCATAACGGGAAATATATAGGATAGTAATTAGAAATACTAGTTTAACACACCTGTTAGGAAGAGATAAATATGCACCTTTAATATTACTGAACCAGCATTGCTGAAATTATTCCTTGGCACAGTTGCGTAATTACATAGGCACCTGCTTTGGATATTCTGAAATCAAATCAAATGAGAAATTCCTTCCACACATGAAATATGTCACTTTAACTTAGTTACGTTACATGCAACCCATGTCCCCACAAGGAATATTTCTATATGGCTATTGCATATCCTCAGATATATCTTTACTTCAGTGTTAAATGACTCACAATGGCATACTAGTTTTATGCATTAAGGGCTAGCTGGAGAGTCCAGGAACCACTCTCAGCATACATATGTGAGGAAATATTTATAAAATATATTTCTTGCACCAGCAAGACTAATAAGCAATCCACACTGCAAAAATGAAGATTAATATACACAATTTATATATATATTTTTAAAAATACTAAGCCAAGATTGACTTTCCATTTAGCTCTCCATCATTTTGAGACTTCGGGTTTTGCTAACAAGGGTGCACATTACATGCTCTTATCTCCTTCTTGTCTTTGCAGCTGGTAAACAGAGGACTTTTGAATCTTTTCTTCACGGTCATGAAGCGTTCCTGAATTCCCCCACCACAGAGTTTGGTACATTCTGACCATGCAGTCCATGCTCTCATCTTACAGCCTAAAAATAAAAACATTCCTTAGATTTTAATCTCTCTCCCCCTCAGTATTGATAGCAGTTGATTAGGGTTGTCAAGGCCCCATACAAACACATATTAAAAGACAATTCCATTCCCCAAAAGTTTTCAAGAACCAGTTAGACTCTTTAGAGGGCAATGTGGCAGAGGCGGAGAACCTGATATCAGTGAAACAAACCTATAATAATTTTGCAGATATTAACAACTAATACATGATAGAGATAATCATAGGCAGGATTTAGTTCAGTTTCATGTAGTTCTTAGTTTTGTGGCCTATGGAAAAAACAACTCTCTGCAACTTAAATCTAGTTGAATATTTCACAACTCAGTATTCAAGTGGAACGACCTTAGTGGGAAAGAATGAGATTTTCTTAGGGCTTGTCTCCACTACGCTGGGGATTGATGCTGCAGCGATTGATTTATTGCATTTAAGCAGACTCAGTAATTAGACAGCAGGGAGTTCCATCGCAGAGCTCCTTCCCATCGACACTGGTACTCCACCAGGGTGAGAGGAGTATCCAGTGTAGACAGGAGATCAGTCCCTGCTAACCTTACTGCACACAAGACGCTGTGGTAAGTACTGTGCTATTTGTATAGCTGAAGTCACACAGGTTAGAATAACGGATAGACAAGCTCAGAGAGGCACAGACATCACCTGTTTTCCTCAGGGAACAGGTTAAAAGCTCTCTAGTTGCAACTTACATCTGACCTTCAATACTGAAAGATTAAACCCAAGAACTTAGTCAAAAGCTTTCCCTAGAATGTAATGCTATTTCAATGGAGTGCTGCTACTCCAATTTCCTCCTGTTATGAACAAACATAACAAGCTGTGGCTAACACATACCTGGATATAGCTCACCATCTACAGCTTCTTTAGCATGTTCACTTCTCCTTTTCTCACGGGCTTCTTTCCAGCGCCTTTTCTCTATACCGGGACCTCGCAAACATTTTCTTATTCGGCATTTTTTCCGTTGAACAGTTTCTGGGCATGGAGCTCCTCCAAATTGTGGTTCCATTTTAATCATTCTTGTCCTGATCATATGACCTTTTCCACATGATTTATTGCATTCAGACCACTTGGACCACTCTGTTAATTCACAGTCAATGGCTATGAAGAAAGAAATATTGGCAATTATAACAACTCTTGGGGGACCCAACCAGATGATGTGGAGGAAACATGGATTTGCCTAATCAGCATTCATAGCTGAAAAGTGTGAACAGGGCTTGGTTCACCCAGTCTTCAGAGTTTTCCAAGAAAACATTAAAAATCTCTGCAAAATCTTGAGGAATATTCTCCTTTACTATCATTATTGAAATTATTCATTGGCACACTGGCATGGCTCTGGATATTTTGAGATCCGCTAGTTTCTATTAGCTGGAAAGAATGGTGCTAGGAGGGCACTACCTTTAAAATAAAATACCAGTTGCATGATTTAAGCAAGTATTGTTATGGCCATTTTACACTTGGGGAAACTGAGGCACGGAGCTTCTTAACTTGATGTGAGTTTTTTTACAGTCCTAGAACAAATCAGGAAAAGAGACAGGACTCTAACTCAGATTTCCCGATTCATAGTTCCACACTGTAGGACCGGGGCCATACATACGCCAAAGTTTGAATTTTTCCACAATGAGAGTTGGCTTTTTTTGAAGTTCTGAATGCAGAACATAGAAATTACTATACAGTCATTCAAAAAAGTGATTTTTAAATTATTTAAGAAACACTCGGTTACAAAATCGCATCATAAAAACGTGTGAGGGGGAGGGGTGGTAGCTTCATAACTAGTGCCATTCCTGGATAAAAATGTAGGTAGTTTTATGCAGGGTGTTATGACACCTGCCTGGCAAGGAATGCAACAGAAATATTATCTCACATCCATTCGAGGTGGTAATTTAGAGTGGCTCCTAAGCTGCTCCAGTTACACATTCACAAATTATTATCAGGGAAGCAAGAGCAGTTTTAAGCCACACTGCCCTGAATCACAGTCAAGGCTCAGCATGTTACTTGCTTGCTACTGGAAACTGAATGTGCATTTGGGGGAAAAATCATGGTTTCAGTAACTCTTTACAAGTTCGAAATGGAGTTGGGTAGGTTAAATTAATTTCCAAATCCATTTTCCTCTGAACCATTTGTGGGCTAAACTGCCAAATCACCCCCATTCACGTCTCTAAGGCCTATGGCATGGTGTCAGTCCAGTTCCGAGTGCTCAGGAGACACCATCATAAAAATCCCATTAACTGTTGGCAATAAGTGATACCTTCATTAGTAGATTCAGCAGAGACCAAGAATGCATGGTCCTGGAAACCATTCTTCCACCCTCTAGGTTTAAGGTACAATATGTGGATGCAGAGGTTGCTACTTCCCATATTGTCCTTATTCCAAATAGGCAACGACTGAGAATGTCTGAACTCCCATTTCTTTCATACAAAGGCCTGCTTCCTATTTCATAACAACAGCATATCTTCCTGGATAAGCAGGAAGAATGTAGTTATACAACACAGTTCCTTAAATGGAGCCGTTAGTGAGGAGCTAAGATGTGACATGAAGCTACGGTGCTGGTATTTTTATTGAATCTGGGGTTGTAGGAAGCAGGTAAATGTCGAGTAAAAGACATTGCACATGCTAACAGTGCCTTCACTATCTCACAGATTAAGTGAGAGTAACTTTACATGGACTGGACTATCTGCGGAGAAGCACCTTGGATATTTCAGTGAGCACGTGCTCACTGAAATATGCACGTGTTGCAAGCCAGCAGGACAGACAATACATGGCTGAGAGGTGTAGGTTATGGAGCAGGAATCGAGAAGTCCAGAAGGCACACAAAACCGCCTCTTCACTATCCACAGTGCCATTGGTGGAAGCTCTGCTGCCACGGAATGCAAACACCACAGCTCTGTCCCAGCTCCACATATGAAGCACAGCACCAAGTTTGGATGCTTAGGCTACCACTACATTATGAGCTGTGGAGATAGTGATTCCCGGCATGTGACATTTGGAAAATAGTTGTATCCTCATGGTTGCATGGAGGCATGGCCTAGCCAGGCTGAAGCACCTGGAGCATACTCCACATACTAGCCACCGTTTGCTTGTCTCAACACTGAGCTCCAGCTAGCCTGCTGGGTTTTAGTGAAGGAATATTCACACAAGCTCGGAACCACCCTCTCTGTTCATAGTGTGATGTCTGCAGAACACGTGAAATGAGCCTACACTTACGGCACTCCGGAAGCATGCACTTCTCCACTTGCTCTAGCTCCTCGCTACAGTCTCCAAGCTCAGCTGCAGATTTCAGCATCCTTTGCCGGGTCCTCATTCCCTTGCCACAAGTCACACTGCAGTCACTCCATTCCGACCAAGGGGAGAGCATGCAGGGAATGGTGTCTAGTGCATGAAAAGAATGATTAGCAATGATAGCAAATCCCCCTTACACTGACAAGGTAGCTAAGCACAAAGCTTTGAAATTCACATAGGCAATGTAAGTGTTTGAAGAAGGGAAGCAACCCCAGTCTACTGCATTTTGTTTTTAGCTTGCTTTTTATTTTATTCAAGCTAAGTTGATGTTCCTACAAAAGCTCAGATGAAACCTACATTTTTTTGGCTATTTATTAAAAAATTTTCTCTACAAACTTTTGTCCACTCAGTTTCTGCAGAATAACAATGCATGGGGCTCAAAATACTTCAAGAAAGGTATTTCTGGGCTCATATTAGCTGCAATTATCAGTGAGAAAGCCAGATATTTTGGAATTTATAGCAGTCTGATGCCAAACCAATGATCTCATCGTGGGCTGCGAACAGTATTTCATTCCAGAATTTGATTCTTTTACAGCAACATTAATTACTTATGGCAGTGAGTATTATCCTGTGAAACACTTATAAGTGCCCATAAGTATTTTGCTAATATACAGGCTTAAAACGTCTGCTAATGATAGTGAGATTCTGAAAGCATTGCTTTGAAAGAGTAATACAGCCATATGCCCTCTTTCGGGTGGAAATGGTACCAACGCACGATCTCCTGAGGCAGGGAAAAGCTGGGACTCTTTCCTGTGAGTATGCATGAGCAACATGTCATAAAATATATCACACCTGTGTGCCCGGCAGGCCGCTCGCGGATACTTACGACATTCTGGCATCATGCATTTCTCTGCCTCTGTAGTTTCTGTGTTGCATGTGGATCCGTCAGCTGGAGTCATCTTAATCATTCTATGTCGCTTTCTCATTCCCATTCCGCAGCTAGCACTGCACTCATCCCACTCTCCCCATTCCGTCACAAGGCAGCTACTGGGAGCTAGTTATAATGGAAAGAGAAAAAAAACCACTAACAGCACTCCGCTGAGAAACGGTTCCTGTAGTGCTTTGGTTACTGGTTGGATGCTGCAAGGCTAAATGACATACTTACAACACTCAGCATTCACAACACATTTATCAGTTTCTTCAGTCGGTACTTTGCACATAGAGCCGTCTTCAGGAAATTGTTTCACGTATCTCTCTCTAGATCGCATTCCCATGCCACAGGAAACAGTACAGGGGGACCACGTAATCCATTCAGACATCATGCAAGTGGATCCATCTAAAATACATTGAGATTGCCACTCGTTTACCTGATAAATCTTAGCCACCAAGAGGTATCTCTCATCCCCCTCCCCCTCCCACTCTTTTCAGACTTCCACACTTCTGTTTATCCATGATGTTTCTTTTTCTGCTTCCTGTCTCATGCTGCCTTTTCCCCCATTCTTATTTCACTCTCTTCTTCTTTCGACTCTTCCCTCAAACATACCTCTAGTAGAAGACTGGGCCACTGTGAAAAAGTTAAACCATCCCCCCAATGTTAAATTCTGTCCCCTACACTCTTTTTGGTTTGTTACCTTCATCACTACAGCCGGGGCCCATACAAGGCTGAAAATCCTGGGTCTCTGGACAAGGTACACTGAGGTCCAGCTGGGCTTTCAGCATTCTCTGCCTCATCCTCTTGCCCTTATCACAAGTGGAAGAGCTGCAGGCTGACCATGGGGACCAATTTGAGTAAATGCAAGTCTCCGGGGTGTCATCTAAAATCAGTCAAAAGCAGAACAAAGTCAGCAATGGGTCTCCACTTGGTTGGTGACTTCATGAACTGTTTTGCATGACTGACTGGCTGCTTGCTTGCTAATCAAACATCTTAATGTTTTACTCATCTGGTACTTGATGCAGCCCTGAATTCTTTCTTTTGTTAGAAAATTGAAGAAGTGTGTGTTTTAATTCCCCCCAAATAGTCAACTATACGTTTATAACTTGTGGGACAACTTATTGCCAAGTTTCTATGGGCAACATGGTTGTTCTGTGCAGGATGCAAGGGCAAAGAACTGTAACACCAAGAATGGAAAACTGCATCACTGTGACTTTCATACTCGTTCAAGGCAATCAAGTAGGAAATGATTCTGAGTGAGAAGTATATACAGAATCATAGAATCATAGAAGTGCAGGGCTGGAAGAGACCTCAGGAGGACACTGAGTCCAGCCCCCTGCCCAAAGCAGGACCAACCCCAACAAAATCAACCAGAAGCAGCTCTGGTGGATGAAACAAAAAGTCACACAACAGAACAGAATTAACAAGTACCTTCTTCTTTCTCTTCTGGAACAAGATCTGCTACAATGTCATCGACATTATCAGGGATGATATTGCATTGCTCTCCCTGCAAAGAAAGAGCAGTAAAGATTTAAATTAGGAAAGTACAGTAAAACTCCACTAGTCCGGCATCCAATTGTCCGGCACTCCCGATAGTCCGGCATCAAAATGGCAAGAGCCTAATGCAGGGGTGGTCAACCCAAGGTACCTGATGGAAAAAAATTGCAGCTCCTGATGGAACCGGGATGGAACTTGGAACCACTCAGGCCAGCCACTCTCATGGCTGGGCCGCTGTGAGCCGCATGCGCGCTCATGGCCCCTAGCGCACTGCGTTGTACCCTGCACGTGCACGCCAGGTCTTGGTCGCTGAGCACAGGCAGCTGCTTTGGGACCCAGACATAAGGTTGCGGGGAGAGATGCCTGGCTCCGGAGAAACACGGGGGAAAGGGGGCGGTGGGGGCAGTATGCATGGCGCCCCGGATGCGGAGCAGTGGATCTGGCTCTGGGACCCAAGCATAAGATTTGGGGGGAGAGGATTGGGTGAGAGCGGGGAGGGGAGGGGAAGGGAGGTGTTTGGCTCTGGGGAAGAGAAGGGGAAGGGAGGGGGATTGGGTTGCGCACAGTGTCCTGGCTAGCTCATGTTCAAAGCCGTCTGCTCGACGCACGTGCCCCCGCATCTGGAGGGAGACACGCAGCTGTAGCGGTGGTTCCGGGACCCGAGAATTAGGTTAGAGCCAGAGGAGGGGGATTGGGTTGGGAGTATGCCCCCTTTTAGTACCTCCTGATAGTCTGGCATCTCCGATAATCTGGCACCACCCAGGTCCCAAAGGTGCCGGATTATCAGAAGTCTACTGTAATGTGAAAAATCTGATAGGATGAAAAACGAGTTGCCAGATACTACACAGTAACACAAGCAGTGCTCCAGTATCTAAACAATTGAAAAGTTACAGTTATTCATGCTTATATGCAGTGAGGAAGCACAATATCAGCACGAAGAGCCACAGAGTAAAAGCATTTCAACTGTTTAAAAAATCATTCAAATGCATTTAAATATCATTTTGGTTTTACTGCAGTCTTTTAGAATTGCATATTGCTACCTTTCGTGCAATTCTCTCAATGACAACTCTGGCTACCACTGCTATCGACCCTCCTTCCGGATCATAAAAGGGACTTTGTGGGTGATCAAGGCTTGTTAGTGGTCTTATCTTTTCTTGAGGAACTGTAGGCTTGTTGGGTGACTGCAATCAGAAAGAAACAGATACAAATACAGATTAAAAGGAGTAAAAACACGTATTTTGAATAACACAATGGAATTAGAGTTGCTTCTGAAATGTTCATTAGGAAAATGTCCCTTTCAACAGAATGCATTATCCCATAGCAATGAACATTTATTATAAAATATTTTTGTAAATCCGTGGAACTGGAACTTACATGTGGGATACAGTAGCACCCAGGTCCCCCAAAAGAGCTCTATTGGCTCTGTTGCTGTTACAGGAGAAAAAGCAGTACACACATATTTTTGTCTTTGGAGAAAAGCCCTTATTGCTCTGAATACACATGTATCATTGTGATAAGAAAATGAGACTGAAGCCTTATTTTATCATTACAATTAATTGTAGTCAACAACAGTAGAAGACAGCAAGAATTCTGAACTTGAGTTATATTTTGAATAGCATTTTGGGGACAGATGTGTAAATGACCATCAATAGGGCTGGGCCCTACATTGTAGGTACTTTGTTGTCTTCCTGATAAATATCTTTGATTTTATTATCTCATATGCCAGGCACAGAGGGAGAATGTTTGTGAGCCTAAAACCTCACTTGGAAAAGTTATGAGACTAAAAGTAGGCAAAACGTTCTCCTTTGGAAAGCATGCAATATAAACATGTGAGGGTCTGGGCAAATGTATTCTGTGCACAAACCGGTATGCCCTAATAAAACCTATTCTGACTCTTTGCACGCACATTCTCATTAACATATATTGACCTAGACTTCATCGTTAATATAAAAATAAACCAGCATTGAGGTCTTCTGGTGATTTCTAGATACTGTCTGATGTACTTGGAAGTATATCTGGACATGCTCAGAATGCTCTTCCAGGTAATAACTATTTCAGTAGTGGCATCTGATCTCAGAACACAGACCAAATGTCTTGTCCTGCAGTCTGCCTCAAGACATAAAAATACGTGGAATGGTTACAATGGAGTGGGATATGCTTACTTTTCCTTCTTCGAAATTTGTTTAGTTTTCCATTTGCGATTACTCAAGAAGGCAGCAATAAAAAATTTATATGTCCACATAAAAGTTTGAAACAAATTGCCATAAAAAACTTTTGTCACTGAAATGGCTAGAGAACTAATACTAGCAAGAGAGAGAGAGAGAGAGGAAAAAGCTTGTTAAAAATGTTCTTATATAAAAATGTGTTTTTGAAACAGCGAGTAGTCCAAAATTATTAACAACCAATTCTCAGGGAGCATTCATCAACCTAACCTATTTTGGGCCATTTTTAACTTTAAATATAAGCATTATTAGTTACTAGTCTTATGGTAATGTATAGATGTTTCAAGTGAGACTGTGGTCTCATTGTGCTAGGAAGCAAACAAACATATAATGAGAGGCTTAACTTAATAAAAGAGAATGTGAAAAGGGCAAGATCTTTAGATCTTCTCTGGTGCGTACTCTTTAATTATAAATCACTTTAATTATTTATATTAAGTGGTACCAGATTTTATAAATTATAAGTCTGTTTAGGTAACGATGCCTGTTCGCACCAGAAGCTTAGGGTTTTGGAGTTAGTGTATTTTATAAATGGTGTCATATTTTACTGTACGGGAATGATTAAAAGTTAGTCTGTAACTGAAAAAATGTAAAAAAACAATGAATGGTCCTGCAGCACCTTAGAGACTAACCAGACATGTAGATGGGATCATGAGCTTTCGTGGGCACAGCCCACTTCTTCAGATGGCTGGAGCAAGGGATCCAGAAGTACTGTTGGGCAATGTGTATAGCTAGCAGGCAGGTGGCAGGAGAGGCACATTCTATTTCAGCTACTGAGGAGTGAAAATAGTCTGATTGCCTTCCTTTACACACAGGACAGACATCCCTGGTTGCGTACATTATTTTTGCTTGTTTGTTTTTCAAGACAGATTTACTATCTTGCAAACACAACTATATAGGGAACAGTATAAGAAGACTCTGCAGCAGAAGAATAATTCCAGTGAGAATTGGAAAGGTCTGTGGAGGCACATATAGGAACTGACCAAACATTTCCAGCTACATTTTCCTTCTATGCATTCATTCACAATCATTTGCACAACCAAATGTTGTGATCTCTCTGCAACAGGAAGTCCTTTGGTCCTCTGCAATTCTTATTCACTTATTGCTCAGGAGTCTTGTCTTTCACTGGGGTGTACAAGTCCTTATCTCCAATCATAATTTCTCTACAAACCTTTAGGATGGCTCTTTATTCTGACCACGTGCCTTCGCCCATGCTGTTATTTTCTTTTTGATTTCCTTGTTTTCCCAGGATTTCTATCTCTTTTACCTGTCTCTGCTATCGGAACATAAAGCTTTCTGGGAGATATGGTTGGCTGTTGTTCAGTTTTGGTGTTGAAGTCTGTGTTAGCTCCATACACTGTCCCAATGATCGCACACATGCTGCAGATTTTTCCCTTATATAGCCATTGCTTGATAGACAGTAATTCTTTCCTTGTTGGTATGGTTTTTGTAACAGTTAAGAATATAAAAACGGCCATATGGGGTCAGACAAATAATCCATCTAATCTAGTGTCCTGTCTGCCGACAGTGTCCAAAGACACCTGCTTGAGCCGGACTGTTCAGAACAAGATGACTATCAAGTGGTCTGTCTCCTACCATTCCATCCCAGCTTCTGGCAGGTGATGGTGTAGGGACACCCAGACTATGAGGTTGCATCCCTGACCATCTTGCTTAATAGCCACTGATGAGCCTATTCTCCACGAGCTAATATAATCCTTTTGCACGTTGGCTGTGCATATAGGGGGAAATACAGGTTGAACTTTCCAAATCTGGGACTTTCTGGTCTGGCAACGTCCGTGGTTCAGTAGGGCCATGGATGTTGCTGGACCAAAGAGCCCTGGAGGCAGGAGCAATGCAGACGCTGAGGAGCCCTGGCTAGGACAAGTGGCATCTGGGGAACACTCCTTGGTCAGGGAACACCTGGTGTTAGCAGAGCACGGTATCTGTGGAGCCTCATCCCCAGCCGGTGAACCCCCAGCATCAGTGGGCCATGTAACCAGGGAGTTCACATGTTCAACATCATTATTAACATCCCCTGGACAAGGGGATGGATGGCACCCTCAGCAAGTTTGCAGATGACATTAAGCTAGGAGGAGAGGTAGATATGCTGGAGGACAGGGATAGGGTCCAGAGTGACCTAGACAGATTAGAGGACTGGGCCAAAAAAAATCCGATGAGGTTCAAGAAGGACAAGTGCAGAGTCTTGCACGTGGGATGGAAGAATCGCAAGCACTACTACAGGCTGGGGACCGACTGGCTAAACAGCTGTTCAGCAGAAAAAAAAATCTGGGGATTACAGTGGATGAGAAGCTAGATATAAGTCAACAGTGCGCACTTGTAGCCAAGCAGGCTAATGGCATATTATGGTGCATTAGGAGGAGCATTGCCAGCAGATTTAGAGAAGTGATTATTCCCCTCCCCCCTCTACAGAAATGATGTGGATGCATTGGAGAAAGTCCAGCGGAGGGCACCAAAAATGATGAGGGGGTTGGAGCACATGACTTATGAGGGGAGGCTGAGAGATTTGGGTTTGTTTAGTCTGCAGAAGAGAAGAGTGAGGGGGAATTTGATAGCAGCCTTCAACTTCCTGAAGGGAGGTTCCAAAGAGGATGGAGAGAGGCTGTTCTCAGTAGTGACGGATGGCAGAACAAGGAGCAATGGTCTCAAGTTACAGTGGGGGAGGTCTAGGTCGGATATTAGAAAAAACTATTTCCCTAGGAGGGTGGTGAAGCACCGGAATGGGTTCCCTAGGGAGGGGGTGGAAACTCTATCCCTAGAGGTTTTTAAGTCCCAGCTTAACAGAGCCCTGGCCGGGATAATTTAGTTGGGGTTGGTCCTGCTTTGGGCAGGGGGTTGGACTTGATGACCTCCTGAGGTCTCTTCCAACCCTAGGGTTCTAGGATTTTTGTTGCTCTTCTCTGTACTTTTTCCAGTTTTTTTTTTTAGATGTGACCAGAACTGCAAGCAGTATTTCAGGTGTGGGTGGCATTTTGATATTTTCTATCTTCTTATTTATCCCTTTACTAATGGCTCCTTATATTGTGTTAAATTCATGACTGATACTGCCCATGGAGGAGATGTTTCCAGAGACCTTTCAATGATGATTCAAATATATTCTTTGGAGGATAGGGACATAATTCAAAATGACCTTAGCAAGTTAGAGAAATGGTCGGAGGTAAACAGGATGAGGTTTAATAAGGAGAAATGCAGAGTGCTCCACTTAGGAAGGAACAATCAGTTCCATACATACAAGATGGGAAGCGACTGTCTAGGAAGGAGCATGGCGGAAAGGGATCTAGGGGTCATAGTGGACCACAAGTTGAATATGAGTCAACAGTGTGATGCTGTTGCAAAAAAAGCAAATATGATTTTAGGTTGTATCAACAGGTGTGTTGTAAGCAAAACTCGTGAAGTCATTCTGCCGCTCTACTCTGCACTAGTTAGGCCTCAGCTGGAGTACTGTGTCCAGTTCTGGGCGCCACATTTCAAGAAAGATGTGGAGAAATTGGAAAGGGTACAGAGAAGAGTGACAAGAATGATTAAAGGTCTAGAGAAGCCTATGAAGCCAGGCTTCATGAACTGGGCTTGTTTAGTTTGGAAAAAAGAAGATTAAGGGGGGACATGATAGTGGTTTTCAAATATCTAAAAGGGTGTCACAAGGAGGAAGGTGAAAATTTGTTCCTCTTGGTTTCTGAGGACAGGACAAGGAGTAATGGGCTTAAAGTGCAGCAGGGGAGGTTTAGATTGGACATTAGGAAAAAATTCCTAACTGTCAGGGTGGTCAAATATTGGAATAAATTGCCAAGGGAGGTGGTGGAATCTCCCTCTCTGGAGATATTTAAGAACAGGTTAGATAGACATCTGTCAGGGATGGTGTAGACGGAGCTTGGTTCTGCCTTGAGGGCGGGGGGCTGGACTCGATGACCTCTCGAGGTCCCTTCCAGTCCTATTATTCTATGATTCTATGATATCGGTTTTGGGGTGGTTTTCCGATGAGTGTGGTCTTGCATTTATTAACACTGAATTTAATTTGCCAAATTACTGACAAATAACCCAGCTTTGTGAGATGCCTTTTTAACTCTTTGGTCAGCTTTAACCTTAAGTAAACTGTGTAATTCTGAATTGTATGCAAAGTTTGCCACCTCATGGTTTACTCCACTTTTTCAGATCATTTGCCAAAATACTGTTTCCATCTTTGCGTCTGATAATACTGTTCTTCACTATAGTTTCAACCACTTTTCCTGGTACTGAAGTTAGATTAACCAACCTGTAATTGCCAGGATCACCTCTGTGGCCTTCTTAGAGTTAGGTATCATGTTACCTATCCCCTAGTCATCTGATTTAAGCAGTAAATTATGTAATACAGCTAATAGTTCTGCAGTTTCACATTTGAGTTCCTTCTGAACTCTTGGGCAAATATCATTTGGTCCTGGTGACTTATTATCGCTTAATTTCTCAATTTGTTCCAAAATCGATTGGCTCAGGTATGTGGATCTCTCTCGTGTCCTCTGCAGTGAAGATCACTGAAAAGAATTCATTTAGGTTCTCCACAATGCCTTGTCTCCCTAGAGGATCCTTTAGTGTCTCAATTATCCAGTGACCCCTCCTATTGTTTGGCAGGCTTCCTACAGCCAGGTAATTGCCGTGATCACTTTTCTAGGCTATGTTTTTCAGAGTCCCAATTTAATTGGGTTAATCTCGCTAGTTTTTGATGACATGTGGGTTAATGTTCATACGTGTTGGGAGCTTCAGTATTTATCCTTCCCTAATTTTTAGTAAGCTAAGTTCTCATTTTTCTTCAGAGAGTGAAGTCATCAGGTACTTGAGACATTGCTGTGCACTAAGAGCTCAGCTTGGGGGAATCAGGCAAAATGAAAGACAGCCATTGTTACCTCTGTCTGTTGCAACACCCTTTTGTTTGGCTATGTATGCAATGCTTTGCTGAATATTAAGAGCTTTCCATATGTGTGTGGATATTAGCCTCATGTTTAACAGCTATGTTAATTACAAATATTCCAGATACCTCATAGGTAACCCCACTGTCGGTGCCAGCATCCCACGGTATCAGATCCTGAATGACTTTCTGAACCCAGCCACAATCCTTGGTGCAAAGGTCTTCAGCTGACAGGCCCACGTTCCAGTCCGGACTGGGGCCTAGCATTGTAAGGAAAGACATCAGGTGGCGAGTCCTGTCCACAGAAAATTCAGCAGAGGGAGCAGCTCTCCTACAAATAAAAAGCAGGAAGCTAGAGTTAACCGCTTTGCTATTTGAGCAACTGTGAGATTTGTGCTTTAAATGGAGAAAAAATGAGTCCGCTCAGACACCAGGTATATCTGCAGTCTGTAAATAAACAGAGAGCTCTGACGGGGTGAAGGCATGGCACAGCTCTAGCAAACTGCGTCCTTTTCAGCAGCAAGACAGCCTTTGTGTATTATAGATAATGAAATGGCTCATTCTTCATTCAAGGATGTTTACGGTATATTGCATATCAGTGGTTTGGAATGAAGAATTGTGGCAAGTACCTGTACTTTATAGCCAGGTAACAAAATAGCCTTGCCAAAAGATTCTCCTGTTCCATAATAAATTAAAAACTTCAAATACCATGAAATAAGACTCGACTATCAGGGAATTTTTAATCGGTAATTTATTGATTTCAGTGCTTAGTAGGGCAACTTCAAAACATCACTAAAGGTTGTATTTCCCAAATCAGGGACCCCTGGGCTACGTCTACACTGGCCCCTTTTCCGGAAGGGGCATGTAAATTTCACTAGTCGTCGTAGGGAAATCCGCGGGGGATTTAAATATCCCCCGCGGCATTTAAATAAAAATGTCCGCCGCTTTTTTCCGGCTTTTAAAAAAGCCGGAAAAGAGCGTCTACACTGGCCCCGATCCTCCGGAAAAAGCGCCCTTTTCCGGAGGGTCTTATTCCTACTTCAAAGT